ACACACACACACACACACACACACACACACACACACTGCGGAAATTGGGTGTCATTGACCCCTTTTCAGAGGCAAGGAAACAGCAGAGGCCCAAAGCACAAAATTTGGCCATGGACTCAGAACTGGAACTGAGCCCTGAATCTTTTCTTCAATCTCATGTTCTGTCTGTGACAGCTCCTCTTCCTGAGAGCATGCTGTTCAGGAAAAAGCACACGCTTCCAGGCCATTTTCACTGTACAGCATGGTTTTCAGAGACGATTATTTATCAATGTGGTCTGCTCTGCAACTACAGCACTAGAGATCAAAAAATAACTTTTACTAAAGCATATGAAGCAAGTTATGGGCCAGTTGACAATAAATTAAATTTTTAGTTTCTTTTATAAAAATAAGAATTATTACTGAGATGTCAACAAAAAGCTACTTCCTGTAGTGGAAATATAAGATTCTCAAATCACAATTTTTCCTCAGAGAAGAAAGAGTTAACTGCTTCCGGTCACAGGACTTTCCTCTACCAATTTGTCACTGAGAAGAAACTACAATCTCCCAGAAGGATCAGAGCACTGTGTCTCTTCTCTTTGGTTCCACAGATAATCATGAAAGCAATTCTAGAGGGAAAGAAACTGCAAAGAGTGGCTCCTGATAGCAACTACAGACACTGATTCAACTCTGGCTTAGTGGATAACTAGAGACAAATAACCCTCAGAAATAAGAAGCTGTGCTTTAAAGACTAACTTATTTTATTTATGTGCACTACATGTATGCCTGGTGCCGGCAAAGGCCAGAAAAGGGCTTTAAATCCCACAAAACTGGAGCTACAGATAGTAGTGAGCTACCATATAGATACAGAACTGAAACCAGGTTCTCTGCAAGAACAGCAAGTTCTCTTTACCACTAGACCCTCTCTCTACCCCTAAGCTATATTTTTATATGAAAGATAGCATAGAATCCTTTGGAGACAGAGGTACGTGAATCTCTATGAGTTGAAGGCTAGCTGCTCCATAATGGAAGTTCCAGGCCAGTCAAGACTATATAGAGAGACTATCTAAAAGAAAGCAAATAACTTTTTTAAAAAAACAGAAAACATCCAAGATAATGCATCCTCATGAACCCTGAGCATACTTGATATTAGGAATGGGCAATTTTTTAATTAATCTCCTGTCAGTCTGCAGGTCTGTCATTTAATCACATATAGGAAAAAATGCATAATGTATTCAGATTCATTATTGGGTTAATAAGCAACTAAACAACAATAATTTAAATTTACTCACTTAGTACATGTCTTCATTAGATTATATTCCCAGCTGACATTCCTACTAATTTGCTCAATCCAGCAAGTCATTTACAGTCTCTCTGAGTTTAAATTATTTTTTTCTATCTGCAAAGTAGAAATGAACATCTGGCCATAGGACAAGAGAGACCTCCATATGCCTTCAAACACCACCTACACTCATTGCCATTTGTCATCCTTAGGCTGATGGGGTTGGCAGAAACAAGAACTAGACCCTTTCCCCACCTCAGCCTGTTCACTAAACTTTGTCCCATGGTCATTAAATGCAATACCTTGAAGTCTCAAAAATAATGTTCTGGAATATTCAGTATGCCATTTGTAGTTAAAATGCTCTCCTGTCAGGCTGGAGAGATGGCCCAATGATTAAGAGCACTAGCTGCTTTTCCAGAGGTCCTGAGTTCAATTCCCAACAACCATGTGGTAGCTTACAACTATCTATAGTGGGATCTGATTCCCTTTTCCGGCATAAAGTTGTACATGCAGATAGAGCATTCATATACATAAAAAAAAACAAATCTTTATACTTCATTGCTCTCATGAGCAAAATGGCATGGTTGTGACATATGAAGGACTGGGTATGGTGGAATTGCCTATAATTCCAGAACTTGGGAGGACCCAGCAGAAAGTTTTCTGTGAGATCAAGGCCAACCTGGGCTGCACTTCAAGACCTTGTCTCTCAAAAGAAGAAAAGCTCCAATGCAATGGATATAAAAGAGGAGGACCACTAGAGCCCATTGGCCAACTAATCTAGACAGTAAGTGCCAAGGTCAATGAGAGCACCTATCTCAAAAATCAGAGTAAGGAGCAATCAAAGACACCAATGTCCACCTCTAGCCTCTACACAAGCACATATGGAACATACACACACATTAATCAAACACACAGTTGTGCAGGAATGGAGAGATGGATCAGAGGTTAAGAGCTTTGGCTTTTATTCCAGAAGACCTGAGTTCAATTCCCAGCAACCACATAGTGGCTCACAACCATCTGTAATGAGATCTGGCACCCTCTTCTACCCTGTGGGCATACAGACAAATGCTGTATGCATAATAAATAAATAAATCCAAAAATATTTTAAAAAACACAAAGCTGTGCATGAGCACACTCATAGAGTCTTGATGGTAGGTATGTAATGCTGATATTCATAATAAACACACTGAATTTAAGATACACTTATTTATAAAATGTTTGCATTTTGTTATCTTTGTTTTCAATATTTTTCTACTTACTCTTTGGTGAATTGTTTTACTAATTACTTTGGGGTTTTTGTGTTTATTTTTACAAAGATGAGTCCAACTTGCTTGAGAACCTACCAACAGCAATGCAATTATCTCTTGCAATTGACACAAACTTCAGCATCATCAACCATGTAGAGTTGTTCAAGGCAAGTACTTTTAAATAGAAAAATATCAATTTCTTTCTAAAAATATAAGTTCTTACTACATATGGAATTCATGGGGACTTCAATTTTTACTACATTTTATTAATTTATTTGTTTTGTATGCACATGTGGGAGATTTGAAGGAACACACATGTGCCAAGGCATGCATGTGGCAATCAGAGGGAAATTTACAAGAGTCAGTGGGCCTCAGAAGGCAAACTGAGATGAACAGACTTGGCAGCAGGTGCTTTTACCTGCTGAGCCATCTCACTGTTCCTGCCTTGTGTTTTAACAAAATCAAAATAACCTGGACAATTTACAAGAATCAAAAAGATTATGGGTCCCTGCTCAACAGACAACTTGCTCTTTAGAAGCCTCTCTGTTCTAATTAGTGTCAAGGAAGAGGAGTTCTTCAGACAAGTTCTTCAGACTCTTCTTGCATAAATTTAAATTTAATTAAACTCCACTGCTCTGTCTTTGCTAACACATGCATCACCTTCCATTTATGAATGTGCCTTAGCAATGTATTATGAATCAAATTCGCAGAGCAGCTTTGCATTTGGCCTATTCATGTAACTATTACTAATGCTTTAGACTTAGCTTCTTTTTTCTTTAAGGAAAAGTCTTTCAGTATAGCACTAGTCAGCCTAGAATCTGCAATAATAAAAATAAACCAATTTTAGGATGGTTTGAATGATGGCGTCATCATCAAAATTCATGCTGAAATTCAATTCCTATATTGAGGTACCGGCCTCCGGCTAGTGACTGAGTCATAAAATTCTATCTTCTTGCTATATGTCTTTTTCTAGGGAGGCATAAATGTTTATTCACTCCAGACAGGGCAATGATGACAGGTAAAATGAACCTGCTCAAGTATAGCCTAGGAAACCAGTAAGTTTGTAGGATTTGCTTGCCCAAGCATAGGTAAGGAATTACCTTCAGAAGCATGAGTTGCTCAGTGGCAGCTGCATGACAAGCAAGCCCATCCCAGCATCAGTGATGACTCACAAAAGCTGAATTTCTGAAGTTCCCTGCTCAACTTCTAAGCAGATCCTCTTCCCTAGCAACTGCTGACTGTTTATATAACATTGCAGACAGGCCTTTCTGAGCTTCATGGGTCTTTCAAGTTCTGTGAGCCTCATAAATTTCATTACCTTCTTTTTTGAGTACCCTCCTCTCTCAAGGAAGGACTGTTAGGATTTGCACAAACAAAGATCTGTTTGTTTGGAGTGATAAAGTCCTGAATGGAAATACCATGGAAACAATTTAATTTCCTAATCTTGTGTTCCTTGGAGAGGCTCAAGTTAGAAAAATAATTTAGACCAGTCCATGTATTGATAGTTTTTAGCATGATATCAGTACAAACACTGAATTCCAGCAAAGACAGAAAAGAAACGGTAATCCATGCAGAAGCATATGCCTTGAAATATATGATTACTACCACTGGCCAGAAGATGAAAGAATAGCTGTGTGGTGAGATTCCTAGGCAGAGTGACCCAAAGCCCTGACTCTATGCTATGAGAAATTCTGTCGAATCACAGAATTATAGATGAGATTGTCTTAAAATTTTACCTATATAGGTTTTCTTGTTTACTTAAACTACATGAAGTCTAACACATCAGGTCATGAATAATACGTTTTAAGAGTGACAATGAATTTGAAACTTTTCCACTGTAAGAGCAGGGACTGAAGAGTAGGGCAACTGAGATAACAGAAACCTGATCAACAATTGCTTCTAGAGACGAGTCAGGAGTGAAGATATCAAACAGGAATGTGCTATAGTGCACAGCACAGTTTCTGACAGTTGTGACACTTCTCTCCCACAGTAGTTAAGCAGTTAACAATTGCTGTGGGGGAGGAAGGCAACTTGGAGTTGATATACTTAACTCTGTGTAGCAATTTACCTAGTGCTCCCCTAAGTAGCAAGATTAAATTCTAGACAAGAGTGGAGTTGTTGCCATTGTTATTCTTGCTGCTGTTGTTGTTGCTGGTTGTTGTTGGGCTAGCAACACACTATGTAACCCTTCTGGTCCAGAACTCAACATAAAGACTAGGCTAGCTTAAACTTGTGGAGATCCATGAGATTGTTTCCTTTGATCTGTAATTCTGTAACAAACAGAAATAGACTGTAGTGTTATGTACCAGTTTCCTCCAAAATAAACCATGTTATCTTAGAGGGAAGATCATTAAGATCCAAGATGTTCTAAATGGAGATGAAACATGCATCCTTCAGGGTAACTATTTAAAGCCAGAATATCCTAAACAGAGGATTCCTAATACTCACAAAGTAAAAACTAAAAAGCTTCAAGAATTTCTTTAAATTAACTAGATGCCCTACCCCACCCTTATTGGATTAAAGTCTCTTTATTTCCAAGCACAGCCGGGTGAAACACAGGCCAGAGCTAGGTTAAGAACCCAGCCAGCGTAGCCAGAACAAAGCGAGAGCGCGGTCCCCCGTGCTGCCCTTTAAGAAGTCCCTTTTACGTCATCCCGGCTTTCCTTCACCCCGCCCTTATGGGCGAGTCCCCAGGTCCACCTGGTACCTGCCCCAGGACTATTGGGCGGGGCTAGGGTTACTCCCTACACACCCTCCCACCAATTCCTCAAGCTTATATAGTAAGGACTCCTAAGCTGTGCAGCTTTGAAGAAACTCAAATAAGTTGAGCTTCCTAGACAGGAATACACCAAACTGCTTGGAAGAACACTCTCCAACCTCTACAGATGCCAAGATGCCAGCAGGCTATGCAGTGTGTTCCAGGTTTCCAGATTTCATGAGCTGTTGTACATTCTGGGGTGGGTTTTTAGTAATGCAGCTGTCTTTGAGTCATTTCTGTTCCTGTAAGTAACTCACCCACATTCTTGTAAGTAACCCCAATAAGACTCGTTGATTCACCTAGTTGGACTTTGGTGTTGGTATCTGAACTGTGATCTGTCATTGGTTTCCTATCTGGGGTGAATAGATGTTTATTCATATCTCTGCAGAAACATCTAGAGAAGTTCACACAATAGTAATTAATGCCAAATAATATTAAGGTGACATTACAGAGAGGTCCTTTTTCAATCCTTCAATTCCAACAATACAATCACCCTACCCATTGGTTTGCCAAATCTTTTCATGCTCTTCAAGCACTCAGATATATTTGGAATGAGGTTGTCAAAAGTAAGAATGAAGCCATCATTTACCCTGGATCTTAGTGTAGATATATGTGTCTGCACAAAAATACAAATATCTGCCACTTACTCAGAACCCACCATGTGGCACAGTGTAGCAATTTCTTCGTCATTTCTCTCAGGAACTCTCTAGTTGTGGAATGAGTCATACTTTCTGGTTTCAAAAATTGAAGATGTAACCTCTTGACCTCAGCAAATGATCACACTTAGAGATAAGGCTTTTAACGTGCTGATTAAGCTAAGGGGGTCTGTAATCCATCGTGACTTCTTTCCTTAAAAAGAAACAGATGTTTGGAATATAAAGAAAGACACATGGGAGGCATGAGCAGGATGAACATTTGAGAACTTAGAGGAAAGACAACCATCTACAAAACAGGGAGACAGCGAACCAGGGATACCAAACCTGAAGGCAACATGACCATGAGCTTCTAGCATTCAGAACTCTCAGGACAGGATTTTTTCTTCTTTAAACCACTCAATCTGTCATATTTTGTTATGGTAACTATAGCAAACTAATAGACTCTTTTTAATTGAAAATAGGTTCTTTTCTATTACAATATATTTGGATTATAGCTCCCTTCCCTCTACTCTTTCCAGTTCCTCCACACCTCTCCTCCTCTCCAGACCCACTCCCTTTCTGTCTCTGATTAGAAAAAAACAAGTTTCTATGAGATAACAACCAAACGTGACAATATAAAATACTCTAAGGTCAGGTAAAAACATTCATATAAAAGTTGGCCACAGCAACCCAATAGGAGGAAAAGAGTCTCAAGAGCAGGCAATAGAGTCAGAGACCCACTTATTCTCAAAGTCAGGAGTCCCATAAAAAATAACAGGCTAATAGCATTAGTATGCACACAGAGGAAATGATGCACCACATGTAGGCTCTTTGCTTGCTGCTTCAATCTCTGTGACCTCTTATATGCCTTGTTTAATTGATTTAGAGGGAAATTCTAGTGTATTCCATCCCCTCAGAGTCTTACAATCTCTCTGCCTCCTCTAACTCATGATAGCCTGAGCTTAGAGGGAAGGAGTTTGATGAGTACCTCTATTTAGACTCTCTCCACATAATATCTGGCTGTGGGTCTCAACATCTGTTTCCCTCTGCTGCTGGAGGAAGCCTCTCTGATGATAACTGGATAAGGAATTGGTCTATGAGTATAGAGGAATAGCATTAGGAATCATTTCATTGATTTGTTTTTAGATCAGTCAGTTTTGGATTTACCCTAGGTCTCTGAGATATCTAGTCTCTGGTTCCTGGTTACCCAAGCAGTCAGTTTGCAGAGACCATCAGCCTGGGTTGTTTATGGAACCTCCTGAAACTGAGAAGCTTCTGTCAAGCAAAGGACATGGTCAACAAGATAAAAACAGCTGCCTACATAATGGGGAAAGATATTCAACAACCGCACATCTGACAGAGAACTGATCTCCAAACTATACAAAGAACTGAAGAAATTATACATCAAACTAATCCAATTAAAAAATGGGGTAAAGATTTAAACAGAATTCTCAACAGAATAATCTCAAATGGCCAAAAGACACCTGAGGTGTTCAACATCCTTGCTCATCAGGGAAATGCAAATCAAAACAACTCTGAGATACCATCTTACACCTATCAGAATGACTAAGATTAAAAACACTGATGACAGCTTATGCTGGAGAGGATATGGAGTAAGGGGAATACTCCCCCATTGGGATCACCTTCATAGATTCCAGGAAGTTTCCCCAGCATAGGTTTCCACCCCATCCTCCAAGCGTTCCCCCAATTCCAGCCATCTTTCCCTGAATTCTCTCCCTCCATTCCATTTCCTCTAGTCTGATCCTTCCCACTC